CCATGATATGTTTGACTGATTGCTGAGTTCGGCCGCAAATGTTGACAATTCTGGGTATAGTTTGTGCTATTCTTAAGCCATCACTGCTTAACAACTTATAGTTGGGTTCGAGTATTATGTGTGCATTACTGCCACCCATTCCTAAATTGCTAATCGCAGCCAAACCTTAATAAATAAATCATTTTTGTGAGAATCAAACATTACATATCTTTAGACTCTTTTCCATATGAAATATTTTTTTATTTTAATATTATTTTATTTACTCTAACATCATGTATTTAAGGTAAGTAAATAACTGACCAGGCACATATTGTTGTAGTTTTGAAACAGACATTAGTGGCGGGAAATATACCGCCAATTCATCCTTCAGTTCATTGAGATTAATGTTCGGAGGAATGCATTCATTCTCATAGGATATCAACATTTTTATGATGGATGCCATCCCGGAGCCGGCCTCTGTGTGTCCCAGGTTACTTTTCAACGCCCCAATTAGCAATGGAGTTTTGCGTCCGGGTATTTTACAATACGCATTATAAATTGCTTTAACTTCTTCAACGTCACCAACCTTGTTTCATTTAAATTTATATATCTATTCAAAATTTTATAGTATCAGGCTTAATAATAATTTTAAATACAATTAATTAACCACTATACAAATTAACTAAGGTCTAGTTAACCAGACATTTTTAATTTGATACAATGAGGGTTCATCACGCTTGAACTATTTTTAAGAACCATAACTATTTGCCATAGACCTAATGTTAAACTACCTTGGTTTTTATGAACCTCGATTTAATGAGCTGCATATTATGAACCAATTTGAAAGTAAAATTGAATATATGTTAAATCCACTGATTCTATGAAATAATTATTATTTCAATAAAATCACTAAGCCTGGGCAATAACATGCAAATAAGCAAACACTATTATCTAATATCTAAATCTAAATCACAACCTTGGTGCTGGTGAGGTGTCCCTCGATATAGGTCAAGTCCAAAGGATTAATGCCCGCGTCGGCCACCGTATCGGCAATGAGCTCCTCGTGTGCGGCACCTGACGGGTGAAACATACCGTCCATTTTGTTTCCATCGTTGTTCGCACGGACCGCACGTATGGCGGCGTAAACGCGTCGCGCGTTCGCCCGTCTCTGCAGTAATAGACAGCCGACGACTTCGCTTTTCACGTAACCGTCGGCCTCCCTGTCCAGTGGGGCCGACACACCACGCGGTGAACACATACCTAACTCCTGAAATAAACGCATGTGTGGCTGGTCCAGTTGCATATTAGTGCCCACCACCAGAGCCGTGTCTAACCGACCTGTATCATTTAGTTTGTATATAATACAGTACACTGTATATAACTTATATTATTTATTTATACCATTGTAAAATACTTATATAAATGATTTTAGTTTTAAATTATATTTTAAGGAATAAACTATTTTGCCAGCACCTAGTTCTCATATTATTTCTAGTGATGTTAAAAACTAACAAGTAAGTAATATAAAATACAATTAATAAAATTTCCAAATGAAATAATTAACTAATTAATACTATTGATATGTGGGGTATAATTTTAGAAATTATAAAACGTGATTAATTTTAGCAAAAATTGTTATTATTTACATTTAGAATCGACACTAATATGATAATTTGTTATAATGCACAATGTAAACAAATGAATCTATCTGATGATAAGGTTAGTTTCATTACTGATTAAAGATGATGTCAAACCTGAAAACTTATGTTTAAATCAAATATTTTTAGTATTACCATAAAAACATATGAAGGTTTTAATGGAAAATAATAAAAAAATTATTATTCTAACTGTAAGGATTAATGAGTTAGACTGGTTTTTACTATTATATTTCAAAACTAAATTAGATGGAAACTACACAAAATTTTTAATTAGTTTTTTCACTAAATTATATACAGATATAGGCTTTGTTAATTCTATTCAAACATAATTTTTAAACATTTAACTTGTACCAGAAAATGATGTTTAAAAAATAGAAACTTGAATTCAATGGTATTACCAATAAAAACTCAAGAGTATGAAAACTTGTTTTAATAGCTTCTGTAAGCTACTTTAAGTTAATGAAGAGAAACTCTTGAGTTTTTAATGGTAATACGGTGATATTTGAAAATTAAAATTT